ACTCACCTATCCTGGGAGTCACCTCTTTTTATTTTCATTGTGATTTAATAAGGGCTATCACTCCATGTTGTAGGAAACAATGAAGTGCAGTTGAGGACTCAAAGCCAGCCTGGGTGGAAGGGGGTGGAAAATGATTGCAGAAACACCTGGACTCACTGCAGGAAAGTCCATTTCAAGGACATTGAGAAACCGCAATAGAAAACTAAGCAACCTTTAATATTCACCAGGAAAATAATGCATCTGATCTTGCACAGTAAACTGATACTTTAACACCATACTAATACTTTACTCATACTCTGCTTTACAAACTAATAAATTATTATCAGTGTCCAGATATCTTTTGATCTCTAATAATAGCTCACTCTAGAGAAATAGCCAGAAAAACAGCAGTGTATGTATTTTGACATCAAGGTGATGTGCAAACTGCACCAAAAACTTACAAACATACAGAGCAGTCCAGCAGAGGTGGACAAAAGAATGAGGCAGAGGAAGTTGCAAACATTTCGACTTTTGTTTTCTTAAAGCACAGACCTATCTTATATTCAAGAGAACTGTAGGTATCAACGTTTTTGGTGGTATTTTGCTCTCATCATATTCAGGGCTTAATTTTCCCTTTTAACAATTAATTATAATATAGTCAAATAATCTGAATTCAATACATCAAAGTGCGGCTTTCTTGCTGACTTAGCCTGGAATGTGTTTGTGTAAGTTCATAATGCCATCCTGACTAAAGCAGTCAACAACTCTATTAATCCACTATTAATTATGAGATCTTGAGAGATATATTCTGACCAGATCTCTTCAGATCATCACAAACGGTTTCAAGTTGTAAGTTAGAAATAAAATGTTTGAAAAGATTTGGAAGGAAAGAAGGAACATAATTTTAAATTCTTTGTAGAGCTAAACAAAAGAGAAACATGCACAGAAGGCATTGTACTTAAGCAACTGTCAACTGAAAGATTTTCAAGATGAATTACTTTTTAAAAGCTCAATATAATGTTTTAAAGAAAAATCTGATAGGCAGTTACAAATACATGCAGAAATTAATGCTATGAGATATAAGTTTCTGATATTTTGGTATGAAATTATCATCCTTCAGTTTTCTTTCAGTAAATAGAAAGGTTTTTTGGTTTTTTTAGACATCTTACCTTCAGGATCTTACAGCAGATGGGAGTGATATGTGAATGGCCAAGTGATATGTGATATGTGAAAACCAAGCATCAACTTTTACAATATAATTTTTACAAATGTTACAAGGAAAGCATTAAATAGAAATTTGAGATTAAAAGAGGAAGAAAAGAAGAAGTGATCAAAGCATAAAGATTTTAATGGGTAAATAACTTTCTGCTGAACTGACTGATGAAGCAAGCAGAATTTCAGAATACTTAAAATCTGCTAGTCATATAAAAGTAAGAATGAGAAAAAAATAACAATGGAAGCATTTCAAGTTTGCTAGAAGCAAATTTGAAGAGTATAGTTTAAACTTACAGCTGTTAACTTAATTCAATGAAACTAACAGAGAATTAATCACTTTTTTCAGGGATGAATACCTGCTGGTTTAGCTGTGTGAACCAACTCATTACAAGGTCAGGTAAGACACATTTTAAGTACTGAAGAAATTGCAAGTGCACACAGTCCATACACCTCCTCTGGCACTCCTATCTATCTTAGGAGCAAAGACTGACTTTTTCAAAATATTAAGCAGTGCCCTTGGAGCACCAACAGTATCGATATAGACAAGCAACCAGAGAAAATCCAAGTTAATTCTATTTGCAAGTTATGTATTTCTTTTGCTCACTCTATCACACGCAAAATCAGGAGTTCATGTCATAAAGCTGACCAAAACGACAGCAGCTTGCAAGTATGTCTCTGAAGTGTTCTATCACCCCTGAAGAGAAATAGTTCACCTTCTATGCAGTCATAAGCTTCTTTAGTATTTGGTGAAACACTGAAACTGTGAGAGATCACAGAAAAATCAACAGCAAACATTTCCGACTGTAGCCTGACATTACCTGCACAATCTGACTACAAAGACTGGGCTGTACCTGGTTATCCTGAAATTAATAAATTACTATATTAATTTGCTTGAAAACATTTGGGAATCTCATTCATCTATTTTGAAGTTTAATCATCAAAATGTGCACCAACATTTTGTGAAGTTCATACTTTAGGATTTGGAGGATAAATAAAGTAGTGCTAATTATAGGAAACACTTAAATGTAATGGTACAAAATTATTTTGAATTACTTGATCACATGTTTACAAAATAATACTGGTAAATCTGAATTTAATTTTATTATACAAATCATGGAATGTATAGTTTATCAAGTTAAATACAGATTTACCTACATTACTTCAAAGACTAGGACCACTCAATACAACTCTAAAGTGAATAATATTCCATTGGGTCTCCGGTCTCAGGACCACAGCAAATCTAATCTGAAACAAAACCCTGAAAGCCAGTGTGAACATCAAGACCTCAGCATCAACTATTTCCCTCTACTGATCAACTAATTCATAACAGCACTTCCTTTTGAACACATAGTTGGAAACTCAAATTTCAAGTTTCCAAGTTTGGTCAGAGGAGATACTGTACTCTTGCAGCAGTCAGGTAAAAAGGAACTTTTTTCCTCACTTCTCAGTGAATTTACTTTTAGAAGGACGATTATTCACTAAAAATCATAGGAAATAGTCTTTTATATTGGAAAAAGAAAAAACAAAACATTAAAGTAGAGTAGGCATTCATTCTCCCTAAGAGAAAGCTTTTTATGAAAACAGTTACACAGATTCACACAGCATGAGGATAGGTCCAGCTGAACAGGTTGCAGTAGAGAAGTTGTGTGGCTGCTCCTTTGCCATGCTTACACGTACCATTCAAGGGTGCTACTAAGAGAGGGGAAAACAGATTTCAGCTCTTTCAGCCTCCATCTGACAGAACACATCCCGGGAGATCTTTGGGGATACAGGCTCAAGTTACCAATTTAGGAAGACATAAATCAGATCTGCTGTTTCAGAAAGCATAAAAAAAATGCTTATTCTACTGCATAGCACCTAAAATCATCACTGACAATTATATGCTATTTTTAAAGTATTGTAATTTCCATTTCCTAAACACCATTTAAAAACCTCTAGATTATAAACTTCAGCAGCTTCACAAAACCTAAGTGAAAAAAAGCAAATAAGTGGTGACCTGCACTGAGCAGATGAGAAAAATCTATCTTAGAGCGTATAGTTTTCTTTGGTGTTTAGAATACCTTTCTTCTGTGACTGCAAATTCATCTGGATTTTTAAGCAGAAGGTCTTTCTTTCTCCTCAATCTCACTGAATTGATTTTACATCCACTATCTTTATAAATGAGGTACTCAAGCATTTTGCTTAAACCAGTGAAGCTCCAGCCACCATGTCAATTCTACTTCTGCTAAAGTCCTTTTGAAAATAAAATGGAATCAAAGAGAATACATTCCATATCACATCTTTCCATTTCCAGATATACCAGAGGAATGAAAAAGTAAGTTACAATGCATAACTCGCTATGTAACTATAGCAGTCATTATCCACCTTGCAACAGTTCACACTCAAATTTTGATAAAGCATTAGAAGGAAACAAGGTCAGTTTAAGATATAGGTCCTTAAGCAATTATTCTGATTGTGATTGGCAAACCTGGATACCCGTTCTGTTGCAGAACAAATTAGGTGCTCAGATACTCAAGCATTACTCTCACACCCATACCTCTAAGGTCAAGGTGGATTTTCCATCCCAGTACTTCACATCCTTTGTGGTCACACAGGGAAAAGCACAAGATGACATTCGGTGTGTACCCACTACATCTGGTCTCTCAAGCAGAGGATGCTTACTTATAATAGCCGAGATACTGGTTTGTACAGGTGAAAGAGAAGACTTACTCTTTTTCTTTGAGCCATTAAACTAGTTTTTCCACAGCTGAGACACAGGCTTGCAGGGTAGAAGAGAGGTTTTCTTTATCTTCTCCTTCCATCTTAGTAGGAGTTTCTTTCCTTATAACAGCTTGAAGCAAGAAAAATAAAGAAGAAAAAAAAAAAAGAGAGAGAGTGAAAAAGAACAAAATATTCAGGAATATATTTTTCAAAACCATCTTCCTCACATTACATAGTTCAGTAGAAAAATCGAGGAACTTGCTCTCTCCTTCTTTTATAGTTGTGAAATGTTCAGACACTTCCTCGTCAAACAACACTTGCTGTAACAATACACTCAGGTCTCTTTCTTAGAGAATGACAGATTTGAACCTACACAAACTGCTTAGTGGTATGAGAACTGGTGAGCGAGGACCGGTGTGTGTCAAAGCGTTCAGTTCAACTCACTGGGTGTGATTTAGATGTGGTCCAAGCAGCCATGAACATAAAAAGGCCAAATGGCAACTTGCACTTTTATTGTTACAGCATCACTCAAAATGGAGGGAAGAAATGAAGGCAGATAGAAGCGAAGGGCATCTACACCCCTTTGAATAGTTAAAGAAGTATTATATGTTGTACAAGGAACAACAGGCAGGTTTTTAATGTAATTACATATTTCCCTATATCTGAAATTTATCTCTGGCATATAGCAGACTTTTGAGTATCGTTTATTGTCTGCATCAGCTCAGGCATATAGAGCTACATCTGACAACAGCAGAATACTGATCTCTTAGCACTCATTAGAGGAGGAGACAGCTTCTTTAAGAACTATATTTTGACCTTGGAAAAAAAATCCAACGACCCTAAGTTTGGCAGCCATAGTTCCACAGGACACCATATGTCTACCTCAGAAACCTGCAGCACAATCACTTGCACTTGGTCTCTTAAACAATTCCACCTACGCTGCGCTGCACTGCTCTGACACAGCTGTTCGGCTGCTGTCTCAAGCTGAGAAATGTTCTCCAAACATGCTAGTGCTGCACTGGCACACTGCACAAACCAGGCTCCTCCTTCCTATGTAGAGACACAGCAGCTTATTTCACAAAAATTATATCATTTGCCACCTGTAATTCCTGTTATATTGCATTGAATAAAGACTGCACGTGGATTTACCAGCAAGGAGAGGCTGTTTTGCTTTCCCATGTCCTGACCAGAGCTGCTCACGCTCCTGTATCACAAGAGCTGTTTCAGCACTACAGCTGCACGGCGCCTCTTCTCTCCTCCTTAGGATGTGGCTGATCCGCCCTTTTAGCCGCGTATTTTGTGCTTCAGACAGACTGTGGCTCTGCTGCTGAAATATGAAATAAGCACTATTTGTCCTCCAGTTTCATAGCGGCTGTGCTACACTTCGCACTCTCTTTAACACGTTCCACGCGCGCACAGTCTGAGATCACACCTCCTGCAGCACCGCTCCCAACGAACAACCCGCACGACTCCGAAGGTTCATCTCGGAGCCGGGAGTAACGGCGCCAAATTTAAACGCGGTGTAACCGCCACCAACGGACGGTCACGAGGCGCTAACTGCGGCGCATGCGCGTTACGCACAGCTGCCAGCCGCCGCGGGCAGAGCCCGGCCAGGAGCCTGCAGTACTCACAGGGCGGCTGCAGGGGGCGCAGCGAGCCTCAGCCAGCCCCTAACCTGAGCGGCATGTGTGCGCCTGCTGGATGTGTGTGGTTGTACGGGGCTCAATGGGATTCATCCCTGGGTACTTAGAGAGCTGGCCGCGCCATTACAAGACCTCTATCATTACTAACAAGGCTATTCTAACTCTGCCTTCAAGTAACCTATTCAAATATGTCTCTTTTTTTTTTTTTTTTTTCTTTTCACCTCTGGTTATGATACTTTCACATCAAACAAATTTCTGAGGCTTGTGATAGTTGATAAGAACACTTGGAATTCACTTTTGCATCAAGGCTGCACCCAAGTTATCATAGGCGACAGAGGCAGAACCCGTCATCTCTACCTGTATTAAACACACAGCCACTGTACTAAATACATGTTTGCCTTGGGAAATACATATTTAGGCTACAGATGAGTAAAGTACTCAGAACATATACTTGAGACACATCTTGGTATCAACAACTCACATAATTAAAAATCTGTTCCAGAACATTGAAGAGTTTTGCCTACAGAGATTTGCTCCAGGAGAAAAAGAGAAAATCCATCATGCAGTGAGCCAGGGAAGAAGGGCCCAGCTAGGCTAAAAAAGAAAAAAAAAACAAAAAACAAAAAACAAAACCCAATAACAACCACATGCCTGTGAGAAATGATTCTTGAAATGATTCTTTCATTCACTATTTCTGCTTTCCTGAGTTTTTTAATGCCGAGGAATCAATGTCCTGATTGATTTTTCTACCATCTTTCATTTTCATCTGTAGGCAAATGGCATTAATATTGAAATGCTCTGTAGAAATGCTTTGGTCTATTAGTAGGCTCCAGTGCCGTATGAGAAGCTTCTTTATTTCTTCCACCTTGTGAACACTAGACACAAGATGTAGCAAAACGGGATTATCTCCATAACTGCTCCCTCCCTCCCAAATAGTTTTGTACTGCTTTTGTCCCCAGTGTAACTTAAACAACCTCAGAGCAGTCTAGGAATTATGCTGAGCAGCGCCCTGAAAGCTATCTCAGCAGTGAGATACCTTTACTACCGTACATAAAAGCAAGGTAGAAAAAAGTAGAAAGCTCAAACACATCCCAAGGGAGCCTGGGGATTTCCTGCACTGAAGAAATGAGTTACTTATTGAACATCTGTTTTTAAATAATCTATCAGAGAAAAAATTGCACAAATTTGGAGGCTTAATGACTAACTTGAAGTTACTTATTGCTGAGCAGATTGCCTATATCTTAGCTGTTGAGCATTATGCTGTAGTACCCTTAAACTACTCTTTATTAGTATCTTATTAGCCTCTTCAAAAATTAGGTAAGAGAACAGTTGTTTTTTTCGTTCTTCCAAACCATACTGACATGAATCAGAGGCAAAGGAGAGAAAAGCAAAGTACCACAAACACTATTTCAGCCTTACACCAAGGATTTCATCTCAAGCAATATATGTTAGAGCAGCTTGCTGAGCAAGATTGGTTATGTGGTTGATTTCTCTGAATACTGTGAGGTTGCAGACAGGTGCAGACGCTGTTGACATTGTGCCCAAAGTAATATATTATTTTTGTGGAGCTTCTCGTGGTAAAATGAAGAAGCATCCTAACATCATGAAAACATTAACATGCATATCAATTTCGTATGTTCCCTCTACAATAAAAAAAGAAAAAAATTAAGAAATATGAGAATAAATAAGAGGACAGTCTTTGAATTCATTGATTCAAAATTTTCTTCATTATCTACATCCTTCAGAAGCAAGATATCACTGCAAAATTAAACTTTGGACAGTACATTTACAGTAAATTTTTAGACTTCACTGTTCATGTGCACCAAAAAAGGAAATATGCACATGTGAATTAATAAGTTTCCTAAGTTCTTTTAGCAGCAGAAAACAGCCTTATTCTGCACCACATAGTAACACTTATTTACAAATACTCTTACAAATAGAGAGCTCTTAGGAACCAGAGGTACTTCAAATGCTTTATTATTCATGAATCTTTATATACATATTGGTATTACCAAACTTATCTATCGATGTCAATATTTGAAAATAAATCTTTTTTTTTTTTTTTTTTTTCTGAAACAAAGATCTGAGTCTGGCTTTAGTCTACTCCTTCTTGATGTGAGATTTACAGAACATGTTGGTTTTGCTCCCCAAGGTAACATTTAAGTTTATGAACTAATGACAATATCTTCACTAAATGGTTAAAGAATGAAAGTTCTGACAAGTTACAGAAAATCTGGTAATTGAGTAAAGGCAAAAATGACTGATTAGAAAGCAACTTTGTGAGTGAAAAAGGGAGTAAAGCAGCTTTTTTCAACATCTTGGCAGCATAAAACTTCCCTCTTATTAGTTGACTTAGGCAAGTATCAAATTCTGAGTTACTATACCTGCTGTATTTTTGCCTCGTGAATAGGTACATACATTAGCAGAGAAGTGGTTCTTCCAGTATGCTGTTAATGTAAGGTACTATAGATTAAACATGAGCAATAGCAATGATTATATATCTATGAACAGGGAAAAGTGTGAATGCTGGACAGAAGTCATTCCTAATCCTCATATACTGAGCACAAGGTGATATGGGACATTAAGCCTCCAGAGAAAAAGATGACAGAGAATAGAAGGCAGAAATAGGTGAAGCAGCAAAGGAAAAATAAGAAACAGAGTAGAAAAGCAGATAAAAGCAGTGAGATTACTTTATACATCAAAATAATGGATCGTGACAGCTGTATATATATTTGCATTTTGTGGAGTGCGCATTCTTCTAGTATTTGATACTCTGATAGAATCCATTTAATAATCTGGCATCGTGCCCCATTTGCAGAACCAGAGCACCTCATATCTGAAGTCTGCTGAAAGCTACATGTACTCTCTCACAAGTACAGATGCCTTATTAGATTAAATGCTCCTTTCAATTTCCTCCCTTTTCCCTTATGCATTTTTATTGTCACTAAAAAGTCTGGATGTGCAACCAAAAAGGGAGCCACACCTTTCTTTAACAGATGTTCCAATCATCCAGGCCCACGGACTGTGCCTCATTCAAATTACAAAAGCATAATAAAAATGGATAAAAGCATAAAGAACAGTAGAGATAATGAAGCAGGAAAAGTCCTCTACGGCACCCCACATGTGCTGCACTTTTTGACTGTGGCAAGCTGAAAGGGTCAAATAAATAAAAGTCTCTGCCCATTCAATTCTTAACCTAGCTTTACCAAACATCAGTATTTATTTTTTAGCTGATCAAGGAGAAAAAAATAAACAAGGAAACACTAACATAAGAGCAGTCCAACTTAAATGATTCGGTATCAGTATTTTTAAAGAAGTTGGAAACAATCACTGCAGTGTTTCCTATATTCAGGTCCTCTTTTTATAACACAATCATGCACTTATGCTAGAAAGGAACCTTTGACAGGAAATCAAGCCTTCTTCAAACTTTAGCCAGTTTAATTTACTAATCTGTTTCAACTGTTATCCAGTGCAATATTTTATTTGTAGTGCTTCTCCTTATCTGTTTGCACACTTTTTTCTTTCCCATTGCTTTTTATTTTTAGGTATATAGAGAATGGCTCTTCAATGGATGCTTCTTTGGTTTTTAGCTCAGTCCTGATTTACACGTTGCTTGCACCAGCAAAAATAATGATTTTTTTTTATTATTGCTTTTCTATAATCAGTGAACCTTAACTCTACATACTGTAATTTATTCCCAATATAAACACATTATTTTCTTTTCTCACTTCGCTAACCAGAAATTTTTAAAACACTAAAGTCTGTAGTTTCAGATCAATAAAGTTAAAACTTAACAAACATTTTGTTATTAAATTCTCATTTAGTTGTTTGATTTTGTACTTTGTGCACAATTTGGACCTGTAAGACCAAAATATTTTAATACTCAAAAGTAGATTTTTATTACTCTCTCAGGGTCCTGGGAGCATTCTCTGTATGGAGATCTTGATATATGAGATAGTAACTCTACACAACGAGCTCTAAGTTTGCTTTCACGTATTAAGAAACATTTCTGTTTCTTAATAAAAAATGTAACTGGAAGACAGCTGCGTCTTCCTCAGAAGACTTACTTTGCTGTCATGCAATGTCAGCAGAGGTCAGACCAAAACAGTCGCCCTCCTGCTGCATTCAGATCACAGCTGTACCTAGCCTGCTCCTTGCATTGACCCCCATGTGTTTTAACTGGAGAAGCTGCTCTCCGTATGTTGCATGTTTACTACATGCCAAGGAAATACAAAAGTATTTTGTGGAGTCATTTGTCTCCATAGCCCTCACCTTCTCCCTTCCTTCCCACAAGAATTCCAAGTGAATAAAGAGTATGCATAAGGCAGTGATTAGAAAGTGAAGGATGAACACAAAAGGCAGCAGCTGCAGCTGTCGGGATCCCCTCAGCATGGCAAGAACACATTGAATGGAGAAAGTTGGGGTGGGACAGAGGTTTGGAGGCCATTGGCTGTTACACATTGGCTGTTGACTGCAAAGGATGAGGAGGGAGGTGGGGTGGAGCACTGGAGCATGCACTGAAGTCATGACTTTGTCAGCCACTACACTCCTTCTGTGAGATGAAGGAAGCTGCAACACCCCAGCACTGTTGAACCCCTCTATCTTTACCTAGAAGTGGTGTGCTTAGATGTCTTACGCATCTGCCATTATAGACTGACTTCTCTACCACGTAGGTCCAATAGTCTTCTCCAGTTAATTCTGAGTATGCATTAGCGGGATTAATAATAATCAGGTTCCCATGGTTAAGGGCCCCAAAGAAAGGCTGAACAAAAGTCACAGAATCACAGAATCACAGAATTGTAGGGGTTGGAAGGGACCTCCAGGGATCATCGTGTCCAACCCCCGAGCCAAAGCAGGTTCTCTACAGCAGGTCGCACAGGTAGGCATCCAGGCAGGTCTTGAACATCTCCAGAGAAGGAGACTCCACCACCTCCCTGGGCAGCCTGTTCCAGTGCTCCGTCACCTCACTGTAAAGAAGTTCTTGCACACATTTGTCAGTAGCAGGACAGTGCAAAAAATATAGAAATTAATATGCATACATCTTGCTATACCACTCTGCCTTGAAACTTCCTTGTGCTTTCTAATGTGTTAGTTAAATAAGTGCCTAAGTCTTAAGGAGCAGCATGCTGTGCCGTACAGATCACTTTGAAATTGGGATAATTTTTTCCAGTCTCAGGTCCACGCAACCAAGGGAAGCTAACCTCACCTGCAAGATCCACAAAACAAGCATTATGGTTTATGCCCTTTCCTCCATAAATGTGAATCTATATTTTCACTTGTCAATCTGTGCTTGTACTCGGAGCTAAGGCAAGGTAAAGCTGTATCTCAGAGATCTGGAAATATCACACAGCACCACTCACCTCAGAACATTGTTGTCAGGTTAAGTTCACTAATTATATTGTGAGTCACACTATTACTAATCTGACAGAACTGATATGTTTAAATTAGATAGATAGTTAAGGCTTAATTCTACAGACTAATCTCACTGCTTCCATGCATTTTCCTCAGGATGAACAAGCAATTAACTTTCCACTTAGGTAAGAGTACTACTAATAGATATTTTCTGAGCTGGTATTTGGTGTGAATAGCATAAC